AAAATTGATTTTTTTTTTGTGAGGAGACGAGAGAGAGAGTAATACTGCTACGTTTTTTGTTTTGCTTGGCTACATTTTATTTTTATTTTTATTTTTATTAAAAAAAAACTCTATTGTCATGTGTTGCAATTCTAAAGGCTATGAGTTTATTTGAAAAGTCAAAGTGAAGGAGAAGAATTTGGATCTGATATGTTCCTTCTCACCTTATGGTTTAATTGTTTTTATTTTATTTATTTATTTATGATATGGGTTTTTATTTTTTATTTTTTTAAAAAAAATTGAAAAGGTCAAGATAATATAGTAACTTCTTTTTGCCTAAAATCTAGGGACTAGGATATTTTTTTAGTTAAAAATGGTGCTGCTATCTCACACAGACCTTCATGTTTTTTTTTTTAAATTATATTCTTTTTCTTTCATTCACAATGATATATTATTATTATTATTATAATTATTATAATTATGATTATTATTATTGGATATGATTTAGTGATGTATGTTAGGATTATGAGTTAGACTTTAGGTCTTTTTACTATTAACATTATCTAATTACAATCTACTTATTAATTTTATTTAATTCACACCCCATTCTTTTTAATTATTGTTATTATTTTATTTAGGTAAATTAATTCATAACACCTTGCTTAATTAGTTTAAATTATGATAATTAGAGTTAACTAACACTTTTATAATAAATATTATTAAGACTAAAATTTTAAATTAATTAAGATAGTTAACCTATTTAAGGGTAGGCCCATAATTCAACTTCATCTATGATAAATTGAATCAGAATAGGTCTTATGATAAATCCTTTGCATGACAACAATAATATAGCTTTCCCCTTCAGTCTTATTTTAGATTCATAGAATTAGGTTAGTTCCATTCGGATGTTAACTAGACAACCTACAATTAGGTTCGCTTTTCTCCTATGAGAGAATTAGACATGAGTCATCCTTAGTCGAGATATAATTCTCCTACCCCGTGACATAGTTGAGAAAGATGTAGATTCTTTTCCACTTGAGAGAGGTATATTGCATACTCGTCGATTCTATATCTGAGTTAGAGTCATTCTCTTAATGTGAAGCAAAGATCCATCTTCCACATGTTTGTGGTGGTTAAGTTGAGTATTTTTCTTAAGATGATAACTTGTTTCTTCTCCTAAAAACCAACTTTTTCCTTTTATTTTGTTTACCTCTTGAGGGGAACTACGAATGCTCTGATTCCACTCCCGTCAGGATACGTAGGCACAACATGAAACTTCTTGGCGAATATACTTACAAATAACACCTTAGGTCTCCCTTTACCTTTTCACCCTTTAGCAGACAAAATAAAAAATAACACAATAAAATAAGAGGTTCATGTAGAGTACTATAGATACTTAGGATTCTAGCATCTTCCCTAGGTATAACCAACCCCCGAACCTTAGATTTTATTTTGCTTTGTTTTTGCATTGCATGTTTATGTGTTATTCGTTCTTTTTCCCCCTCCCTCGGATAAGTTAAAGATCGGTGTTGAAAAATGATTTGTGATTCAAGTTAATCAATAGCTTGTTATCCAATTCTCATCGCGACAGTACTTAGTTGTATTTTTCTTTAAAACTAAGGGTATTTATATTCTTTGGCAGAATGTATTAAGGTTTCCCTGTCGTGGACATGACTACATACCACACGACCCATTCGTAGAAGGATACCTAAATTCATGTGGCTTTGGTGATTTGATAAAAATCAAATTGTACTCACTAGACCCAAAATTTATTCTAGCCTTGCTAGAACGTTGGAGACCAGATACCCATACATTTCACCTTCCTTTTGGTGAATGCACTGTCACACTATAAGATGTCTATATGTTACTTGGCCTACACATCTATGGTAAGGTCGTCAACGGTAAAGTTGGTGTAAATAACCAACTTTGCAAAGATTTGTTGGACGCTCCTCTCTATGTCGAAACACCTAAGCCCCAACGTGAAGGTCGACCTAGGGGTCAAGGTATTAATTTAAATACCTAAGAGAATCTACCGAGTATGATAAGATACTTAAAACTCGATGCTATATTATGATCTTATTTGAACATTTTTTGTTTCTAGAAAGTATTAGAAATAGTGTAAATATTATGTATTTATCATTGTTACATAATATTAATAAAGTGTGCACCTATAGTTGGGGTTCAGCTGTCCTTGCCCATCTATATAATTCACTATGTAAAAATTCAAAAAAAAAAATTCTTGTACTTTTTATGGCTACGCCTATCTCCTTCAAGCGTGACATTAGTCTAAAATGCCAACACTAGCTCCTATAAACCGAAATCCATTCACATTCTCCTACACAAACAAGTTTATTTTTAAAAATCAAAACATGTATACTTTGATGAAATGTTTCTTTGTAACTAATTTATTTGTGTCACTTTTTTTAGGTGATATGTTCCGGGAATGAATTACCAAAAATGTCCCAGGAACTCAATAATCGTCTACCGCAACCTTTTAGAACACATTGGGTCAGATGATGTAATTTATCTACCAATGTTGTACCATAAATTTGTCTATTTAATTACCACAATGCAGTTTTTCTCATTAAATCTATTGTTCATGTAGTTTGTCTAAAGGTCGTATGAGGGTCTCGACCATCAGCCCAACGCCAATGATGATGTAGTATGAACAACTAAAGCACCGATCATTCGGATCACTATAGTGGAGATGCACAAGAGTGATAAGGTGAAACTGCAGTTCGACATACATTAGGATATTTTAGTCGCTCCGATGTCTTTGGGAGATTGGCACCAACTTAGGATGGATACACAATGGGGTGTAAATCATTAGAAATACTTTGCAAAAGAGATGTGTCTACATTGGAAGAATTGACATCGACGCATCTTAACCGACCTTGTTATAGAAGGGGTTAGACCAAGTCACCAATATATGATTTAGTTTAGGTCGGTTACAACAACACAACAATTTGTGTCTGAGCCGACATATTTGATTGATCCGTGCCAACGTGTTTCTTCCTCACACACACAACAACAAATAAATACCCAACATCAAACACCGTGTTATACCCAACAACCAAGTATACTCATCCAATCAATCTTTCAGAACCGCAACTCATTCATGCTACCAACCCAATCACAACAACAAGAGCCATACTTCTACCGCCAGCCTTCCGACACCAACACCACATCTGCCTATAGCCCTGATAACTCTTTCGATCCTACCCCATCCCACTATAGCCCCAAAAACTCTTTCGACTCCACCCTAATCCACTATAGCCCCAAAAACTCTTTCGACTCCACCCTAATCCACTATAGCCCCAAAAACTCTTTCGACTCCACCCTAATCCACTATAGCCCCCCACGAATGAATATACAATCGTCCTACCATCAAAATACCTACTCACTATTTGACTACTAAACCCCACAACAACCATTACATCATTTCCAAAACGATTCAACGTATCAATTCGACCAACCATACCGTCCACACCCAACCCAACCACCCCGTCCCAACTAGGAAAACATGGGCATGAAACTGAATTACGAAAGCGTCGTTGGCAGTAACCCCACATCTATTGGGGACAAATGCTTCAAAATTTGTCTGATACGTTCAGACCATCTCAACAAATACCTCTTCCACAGGTCAACATGTAAAGGCCACAAACACCTCAACAAAATCGTGGTAGGCCTCGATGTCGCACAAGTGCACCCATGTGGAACCGATGGACGTTTTGATAGGGCCAGTCATTGATTTTTTTTTTCATCTATTGTATGCTTTTTTATATTATAAATATTGTAATTTAATTTTTCTTTTGATTATTTTAATTTTTTAAATTTAATTTTCTAAGACAAAATAATAATTAATATAAAAAAAAAGTATTGAACTGAGGCGTCATATCATATGGTGCCTCCTCTGAAAATGTGAATAATTTAAGACAACCTCGAATAGAGGCGCTATATGATATGACGCATCAGTTGATTTTGGAATGCTATCGCCATATCATATGGCGCATGTTTGTTGAAATAACTTATTTTGTTTTTTTTTTAAATCTGAGTTATTATGGTATTTTTTTTGAAAATGTAAGTTATTTAAAAAAAATTTCAATGTTATGAGCTTTCAAAATAAAACACACGCATATAAAACAATAAAATAAAATAAAAATTCCCGGCTATTGGGGACAAATGCTTCAAAATTTGTCTGATTCGCCGAAATCATCTCAACAAATATCTCTTCCACAGATCAACATGCAAAGGCCACAAACACCTCAACAAAACTGTGGTAGACATCGACGTCGCGCAAATGCACCGCCATGTGGAACCGGTGGACGTTTTGATAGGGCCGATCATTGATTTTTTTTTCATCTGTTGTACGTTTTTTTATATTACAAATATTATAATTTAATTTTTCTTTTGATTATTTTAATTTTTAAATTTAATTTCCTAATTTTCTAATACAAAATAATAATTAATATAAAAAAAGCATTGAACTGAGGCGCCTCCTCTGAAAATGTGAATAATTTAAGACAATCTCAAATAGAGGCGCCATATGATATAGCAGATCAGTTGATTTTAGAATGTTATCGCCATATCATATGGCGCATGCTTGTTGAAACTAAGTCATTTTGGTATATTTTTTTAAATCTGAATTAGTATGGTATTTTTTTTGAAAAAGTTATTTTAAAAAAAAATTCAATGTTATAAACTCCCAAAATAAAACACACACATATAAAACAATAAAATAAAATAAAATAAAAAGAAGACCAAAACCTCACTTCATTCCTTCTATTCTTTTTACCAAATCCACCATCTCCACTTTTTTCTTTAAAAATAAATAATACACCACTGCATTCACTTTGTTGGAGTTTGTGAAGAAAACAAGAAAAGCTAAAGGAATCCAATATTGTACAAGAAAAGCTGTGCCCGCTAGGAGAGTAAAAAGATGCAATTGTACAAGTTGTTATCAATCGTTGACATAAAAACTACTAGTACTAGTTAAGTCGTTAACTAAAGTCAAGAGGTTTCTATTCTAGGATGAGATTATTAGCTTGAATCGCAGAGAGTGAGTGATTGTGTTCTCCTTCATAAGTAACTACCAACATAGATGGATCATCCAGAGCCCTTTCTACATGTTTGCGAGCTGGACATCCTTTAACACTGCTGCACTTGTAATAACCCCTGTAATAGTAGTAATATAACTTAGTACTTATTTCTATTCAATTCAAAATCAACTCAATTCATTAACACTGCATAGTGATTAATAACTTATGAACTTTTTCAAGTTTACAAGGTTGCTACTAATAATAATTACCTTGGATAAGGTGATCCTTTAATTGGTTTCTGACCATACTTTCTCCAAGAATAATCATCCGTTGGAATATCAGACATCTTCAAGCTTATTGCAGCTACTCTCACCACTCTCTTCAACCTCATTTTTCTACAATAATAATCCATTAATAACAAATTTATATACTACTCACTTTGGTTGTATTTATAATTTTTTTTAATTTATTAAATATCAGATACATTAATTATTTAATATATTTAAAAATAATTTTTTTTATATATATAAATCCAAAGATAGTAATTAACTCGAAAAGATCAGCAACAAAAAAAAACAAATTTTGAAGATACCTCTTCTTTGAACAATGACAGTTTCTAGAGGAACTACCGCACTTGCCAGAACCGAAATTCTCAGAGCCACACTTTCTCTTCAACGAACACGAAGAAACACAAGGCTTTCCCAGTGAAGAAAAAACAGCATCACCGGTTAGGGAAGACATGAATGAATTAGCAGAAGAATATGAGAAATCAATAATCTTGTTCTTCTCGACCGCTTCATTTGTGGGGAGAAGAGGAGGAATCTGCTGCAACGGAGTAGCACGGTAGACTATAGTTTCCGAAGGTAAAGGTGCTCTTCTGAAACGAGCGTGACCGGTTCTTGTTTGGTTTCGACTCAGAAGTGAAATAACATTCTTAAACTTGGAAACAGCCATGTCAGCAACGGTTTCTACTGATTCCATGGAACTAGGCTTTGCATTTGAAGAACATGATTGTGGTGGTGAATCTGGTGATAGTAACTTTATGAGTTTTTCTATGGTTTCTAAACCAGAAGCAGCTTCTTTAACTGCATCATTCTCTTGGAATTTGTTTGGTAAAGTGTGGTTACTGTAGTATTCCATCATGAGTTGAACGGTCATAGTACTAGTTACTACAAAGGAGAAGAAAAAGAGAGATAAGAAGTAAATAAAGGGCGTTGATAAAGAGGATCGGTCATAGGGTACTTTTGGTCAAATGATTCCAAATAAGAAAGAATAATATGATAGTGGAAGGTTTGGTCCACTATGTAACTGTAGTGCCACGCTAGATTTCTCTCATCTCTTTTATACTATTATGTTCCGTCCAAAGGAAGTTTAGATTTAACGCTAGTATAGTAAGCATGTCTTTTCACTTTCATTGGGCGTATAAAATTAAAATGATAATTTTTTAGGTGTTTAAAGTTGAAAGTAAATAAATCAAATGTTGACTAAGCAAATACACCTCTAGAATTAACAATGTCTTGGTGTCCAAGTCACATGACTTGTACAACATGGTGTTAGATATATATATATATATATATATATATATATATATATATATATATATATATAACACACACACACATATATATATATATATATATATATATATATATATATATATATATATATATATATGTGTGTGTGTGTGTTATATATATATATATATATATATATATATATATATATATATATATATATATATATATATATATATATATATATATGGGTGTTACAATTTTTGTTTTATGTTATGGTTATTTGTAAGATTCGCAAGTGCATAAAATAAGTGGGGATTCTTGTGTCTTTCGATGACACACGATCACGTCTGTTGTCATATTTTTTACTGTTATTTTTGGTTCCCCACTTCGTCATATATTTTTGGTTCCCCAACGAAATAATAATGTCGTTTGTGGAAATCAACTACTGAATCCTGCCATCTTTTCACAAAAAACGAATGTTTCTTCACAAAAAAATCCAAATAATTGATCTTCTTCTCATGAAGGGATGATCACTTTCTCAAATGGATCAAATGCCTAGCTCACAACACTAAGGCGACATCAACTATTACTCGATTCACCATTCAACGTCACACCACAACTGTGGCTGCTGAAGCTAATTAAGCTCCACTTTCTCCACCAGTAGAAGATAATTTAGTTTGAGTGACATATCTGCTTGTTCATATATAACAAGATGTTATTCCTTCGAGAGTCAATTAAGGAACGTTCCAAGCCCTCACATTCTTCAAACCTCTGCAATAGCTTTGCCAATGCCAACCTTCGTCAAAAATTATTGATGTATGGACAAGAGATGCTCCCAAGTCCTCAAGAATTATTGTAGATCTATGTGCTTATAAGTGAAGAAGCAAGATTTGAAGTTAACAACTTCATAAGTCAAACGAATTTTGGATATTGAGAGTTCTTTGACAAGGGGAGTTCATTTCAACGGTCAAATAAAAGCTTATGATGATGACACCTGATTAAAAAGTTATCTCAAGCCTTATCAGTCACACATCTCAAGAATCCAATTAAAGTGTTAATCAAATTGATGAATCCAGAAGTGGATCTTGAAGTTTGGAAATGTGAAAGTGTGAAAATTCACCTGATCACGCACTTAGCGTCGTAGAGTGATCAGTTTAAATATAAAAGGTCAAAAGTAAGTCTTTAAGTACTATGGCAATCATACACACTAATTTTTTTTAAACCTCCCTGATTTTATAAAATCTCCTGAAAGTATATCTAGGCTTATATGGATTTGACTAAGTATTTCTAATTAATTAAAGAAGTTTATACAGTGTCTAATCGATTAAGGACTTGGTCCAATCAATTAGAGCTATGTAAATGACCTCTTAATCTATTAGTAATTCTTTTACTCGATTAATGCCTATAGTCGTTTTATAGTTTCTTTTTTTTTTGGAATAGGGTTACCGTATTTTGAAAGGTTTTAATGATTAGTTGCAAGGGTTAATCGATTAAACATTAAAATGACTCGTGGATCATTTTCTTTTTTAGCCAAAATTTTTCCTATATATAAGATGTTTCTCCTCATTTAATTTAGATCAAAACTTTGAATAGAAATCCTTCTACCTTTTTCTTCTACTCCTTATGTTTTCTATTTTTCTTTTCACGAGAATTATCACGGTGTTATGTGACCAAAAAGCCCTTGTGAGAGTTTTGTTGTAATCGATGTTGTGATTAAATTTCTTTATTCAAGAATTTCATTCTCTTATGAGTTGTATTTTTAAAGAACTTAAAAGTTGCAAGTTAAACTTAAAAAAAGAGTAGGTGAAGGTTCTTGAGTTTAGCCTGCGTAAAATCTATGTTTGATTGTCGAAGGCTTATGGGCTAATCATGCAAAAACTTAAATATGATTATAGTGGAACTCTCAAGAGAAAACTCTTGGGGACATGAGTAAGTCAAGTGGTTAGGCCAAACATGAATAAATCTCTAATGCACTCTCTTTAAACTCTTTTTTATTTTATTTATTATTTTATTTATGTTGCGTATCTCTCTTCGTCTCCACCCTTCTTCTATCTTATTCATATCCTCTAACTTAAATGATTTTAAAAAGTATACAATTTAAAAAAAAAATCACTCATTTTGAATATCACAATTCACCCCTTCCTCTTGTATTTAGAGTCATTTGGTCAACAAGTAGCATCAGAGCCTAACTCTTGTTGTAATACTAATCGTTCTAGGAGAAACAACTCACTAAATAGGCTTTCATTCTTTAATGAAAAAGGGTATGCTCTATGGAAAAAACGAAGATGAGAATGTTCATAGAGGGAATGGATTAGGATATATGAAAAGCTATAAAAAAAAGTAGTTATTTTGTTCCCACACAACAAGTTAATGGTGTGATGGTAAACAAAGATATATATGAATGAAACAAAGAAGAAAAATAAAAGTGCAACATAGTTTGAAAGTTAAAACCATCATCACTATCGCTCTTGGTCTTGATGAGTTTTTGTGTGTTTTTCACTGCGAGATTACAAAAGAAATATGGGACACCATTCAAGTAAACCATGGAGGAACAATTGATTTAAAAAGGGCTAGGATGAACACATTAGCCCACGAGTACAAAATCTTCAGAACGAAACCTAAAAAAAATATTATTGATATGAAAAAAGCTTTCATTCATATTGTGAGTTACATGAGAACTCTGGGGAAAGTATTTCAGAATGAGGATTTGTTGGTAAAAGTCATTAAATGCTTAAATCATAGTTGACAACCTAAAGTCACTCTGATTTATGAGTATAAACACTTGCCTTTCATAGATTTGACTACTTTATTTGGTAAAATGCAGAAACACGAGATGATACTGAAGATGCTAGGTGATGAATAAGAAGGTGACGAGAAAATGAAGAAAATTCATGATATAAATATAAGCAATTGTTTCAAGAAAGAGAATGAGTCTGAAATAAGTATATACAATCTAATTTATGTGCTTTAGAAGAGTGCACAAGACTCCTTTATGTAGGAGAAAACATTTGGCTCAAAGAAGAAAGTTTTTTTAGGCAGAATCCATTATCTAATTAATCAGAGTATCGTTCTAATCAATTAGACAATTGTTCTAATCGATTTAACAACCACTCTAATCAATTAAACCTAGAAAGAAAAAAAAGGAAAGATGTGTTTGATATGTTCCCTAATATATTAGGTAACTTCCTTAATGGCTTATTAAGCGAATTTTCCCAATAATCGATTATAGGCCGAACTCATGTTGTATAGTTTATTAATCAACATCATAATCAATTAGACATCGGCCATAATCATTTTAAAGAAGGTTATGAAAAAGGATGACATTTTGCAATCATTTTAAGTTAGTGTGTTTGATGCCTTATTACTTTAAGAGCCATTGTTGATTGCTTACACATTAATTATCCAAACTATAGAAGATAAAAGATAAAGCATTGCATCACATGTGAACATAGATAATCTTCATCTTCTTTGTTATTATTATTAGAAATTGATTCTCTAATTCCAAATATTGGAATCTTTTCACTTTTTTATTTACTTAAATCTTTTTCTTCTGTGATGATGCTTATGACAGTTTTTCTTTATTCCCTTTTTCATCATTAAAACCTATTATACTTGTTAAGTGTATAGAGACACAATTTTATGGTATGAAAAGTGTTGAAAAAGGTAACTTGATTTTATAAGATCCCTTGTCAAAAGGGTATTCACTTTATATTTGTCGGATTACAAGAATTGGAAAGATAAGTTTGTTTGATAGTGAAATGCTACAAATTTCCCCCATGGTTTACTTTGACGATACCAAAGATCATCGATTTCCTCTGTGTTGGGTGGAAAATCCCATAATGGGTTTGGACATGATAATATTAGTGAGGGAGAGAAGGACAATATCTACTTTTTATGAAAGTTTCACATTCTAAATATTGGGGAGTTGATGGAGTATGAGGGAGACAAAAAGGTGCTTATTAATTATCTAGGTAAGTGTGTTTTTGTTTTTGTGTTCTATTTATTTATGTGTCTTTTTCTATAACCTCTTAATTTTTATGTAGAGAGAATGATTCATTTATCCATGTCTGAAAGGAAGGTGTTCGAAGAGGGCAACGATCTAGAAGGGGGTTGAATAGATCACCTAATGAAAATTTTCTTTTTAAAATTCAGTTTTGAACAATATTTTTCTATGGCAAGCGGAAACGAATTTGGATCTAATCTCGTCTATTCAAACATTTATTGGTAGAATTGGATATGCGTATAACCGTAGTATAATGTATGCTAAAGATGAGAAAAGTCAATCAACAAGTTCAATTTAAGCTGTTTGAATACAAATCATACTTAACGTAAACGATTTCTAATGATAAGTAAAATAAAACTTGACTAATGAATTTTGTTGAACACTTAGTGTGCAGTAATTTTATCGAAAACTCGATGTGAAATACACCAAGCTTGATTCTCCTTGTGTTGAAGTTATAACAAATCAATTCCAATGGTTTAGATTGCAGTGCTTTAACAAAATCAGTTTTAAACACTTCGACACAACCAAAATTTTCAATAATTCAAATTATGCACTAATTGTTTTCAAAATCAAAAGAGAATGAAAGAGATAGAGAGAAAGAGATAACACCAAGATTTGTTTAGGCAGTTCCCCAATTA